TATTCAAGTTTTTTGAATATATTTACGACAATTATTAAACTACCAAATACACAGATTCAAAATAAGGGGGCTACAACACCAAACATGACTATTTAACTTACTTGTCATAGACACTAGTATTCACCATTTCATTTAATATATCACCTTCTATTAAACCAAAGAAACTGCCAATCTGAAAATAATATATATTATAATTGAGTACCAAGTTAGAAAAAAATGTCAAACTTTATGTAGATTTGTAAAAAAAATGTTCTTATGTCCCTATATGAATGCACAATGTGTGTACTTAGAGGAAAAATAAAATACCGGTAAATATATTTACTAGATTAAAGAAACATCTATACAACAAAACACAGGCACACTTGTGAACATATGCAATGCCACAATCCATTATTGCACTTACATATGAAACATGTTCCTCTTGGTTGCTAGCAACAACAAAACCACCATTGTCCAATAAATAGCAATTTAAATGCTGCAGAATAAAAAAACAAAACATTTGAATTTGGAAAATATATGGATGACACAAAAATTAGCCAAATTCATTTGAACAATAAAATCAATTGTCAATTTCAAACAATATTAAACCAATCAAGTTGCAGATTTTCAAGCTAAGATTGCATCAGCAGTAATGAAAACCAAACAGATTGGCCATATACTAGACTGTTGACAGTCCTCTGGCCTAATGTACCCCGGTAATTGTGTTTTGTAGACACTCGAACGCTGAATGCGTTCGATGGGAAATGTGAACCAATTCATGCGAGGGACTTTAGTCCTGAGTGACTGTCCCCTTCTGCAGGTTTCTAGTTGATATGAATAATTTATAGTTGATACTGACGTCACAAAATGAATTATATTAACATAATGTATGCAAATTTATTCTAAATAACCCCTAAATGACCCCATGAGTACAGTTGTTCACGTTATGAACTCAATGAATACAGTCACTCTTAATTTGCATATGAAAGTACCCGATCTGGTAATCTTAACAGTGAATTGCAGCACCGAACAGTCGGTCGCGCCTAACGGCATTCCATACTTCCTGTCCCGACATTCGCAATTTATTCACGCCTGTTACGCTTATACACAATATTTATTAATAATAACAGATTAATATTAGGTACGACCGACTGTTGACAGTCTAGCCGTATACATGTATGCAAGCACAAATTGCATGTCCAAAGATTAGACTTACATGGTTTTCATTGCTACATGTACGGTAACAATCCTCACCAAAACACTGTGATAGTATCAAAAAAGAAATATACAAGTCAAGTATGAAACATGAACAGTGACAAAATTCAACACAGGGTGGATATGGAATTTTCAATGTGTCTAAATCAACAAACATAACTAGGATAATTATAATACTCATTTATTATATAAGATTGAAATATAATAAACTAAACTATTCATTATTACTTCATTTTTACAATAATCACCATAGCATTCATAAACACTGAATCAGCCATCTTGACAACAAAAACTTCAGACATAAATGCTGCATATTTCCAGAAGTTACATACAATATGTAAAAATTACAGTTTAATTGGACACAGGTGCCTGGCTTATTAGGATAGGAAATTGCCATATAAGGGATGAAGAACCTATTTGGCTTGTGCAATTCCCCAAGGCACTCTATCAGAACTTACATTTCAGTTGTTATTACAAGGATACCAACAAATATGAATTCAGACAGTGTGTAGTAACATCATGGGTTACCTTATCAGTTTGTTCTTTCCAGCCCATATTGAAAAATTCTTGTTGTAATGTAACTTTGATCACAGCTGGCATGACATCTTTTTCTAAGCGCACTGCTTTACTGGCACTGACGACTGTCGTATAATTGTCGTCTCTGTTACGTCCTGTGACATAACAGTAAATATATGTAATCTAACTAGTACAAACTTTGTTTTCTAACTTTCCAATATTGAAATGAGGAATTATGCTCATTTTCATAGCTGGAGCTATAGAATAAAACTATAGAATACTGTAAAACACTTTATTTTCGCTTGGAATTAATTTTCGCTAAAGGAATGATTCAGTGAAAATAAAATCCAGCGAATATACCTTTTTTCCTATATTTTACATTCAACTTGTCAAAAATCAGTGAAAATAAATTCCATACACATCACCAAAAATGTCTTTTCAGCGAAAATTAATTCCAGCTAAAATAAAGAATTTTACAGTAGTTATACAGAAATAGTGACTGGCATATACAGGTATATGTTTGTCCATTGCATATTTACAGGGAAAATAATTAAAGATGGACAACTTGATATACCGAGAGTGAGAGTGAGAATTACCCACAACACAACACAAATGAAATATGAAAAGAGTGAATGAATCACTTACCACTATTATGGGGTACTGATATAACATAATCATTGATATACAAAGCTCTTTCATAATAATCTTGCTTCCATGGATCACGTAGGTTATCCAACTCCACATCACTCAATTCAAGGGCAACTCTGATTTACAAAATACAAACAACAAAGCGAGCAAGATTAGATACAAAGCATCGGGTAGATTTTTCCATTAAAACCACTAAAAAATTAAAATTACATTCATCATCAGTGAAATTAGGAACAGATCAATTAATAAATATCTAACTCTTTAAGGTGTAGCCATGAAAACAAGAGATGTAGTTTCATCAATAGGATTTTTGTCAATTTCAGTTGACATCAAGATTTATCGCCACTGTGTGTTATTCACATTAGACAACCCTGGTATATTGTCTATTTAACCACAGATTGTATAATTAACAAGCATTTCATGGCAGTCTCCATTATCAAATTTAAGATTATATAGTTTTGTTTATAGTAATATAGTTTGAACATAAATATGTCAGAGATATGGATTCAGAAGCTGATTTTTTTAATATTAAAATGATTGACATTCAGTCATCTTGTATCTGATATCAAACTAGTACTTGTTCATATTGGAAGGTATTGCTCTGGAACAGCATCAATTAAAACAAAATGGCTGACTGGTCGGCCATTTTGAATTGGATTGTCATACAAATATATCTGTATATCTATGACATGATGTATAATGAAAATATATAAAATGTGAACATAATCAGTCAAAGCATGTCAGACATATGGCTATGGAACCGCATTCATCAAAACAATCTGCCATTTTGAATCAGACTCAAAAAACAAAATGACATGGATTAGGGGCCTATAATGTCCAATGTATGTACAAGGTTTGAACAAAATCCATCTGTAAACAGTCAAGATCCGGTTCTGGAATGCCATAAAATGCTCGATTTCAAAGATTTGTCAGCACAAAAATGGCCACCATTTGGCCATCTTGTATCAGATCGTAAAACAAATTGATGTGAATATATATAATATTATGTATGTATGAAGTTTGAATGTAATCGGTCTAGGGATGTCTAAGCTACACGTCTGAACACACACACAGACGAACAGAGGGCAACATAAGTCGCCATTGGACTTAAAAACATGCTCTTGACCAATATCAGAACTTTTTACAACGTATTCAGACAATTGAAATGCTGATTAATAAAATAACCAGTAGTCCGAGGTTTCAGGGATGTGCAATTGGAACATAAACTGTCCCCCTTCTAGTTAGCTCATTATCGGTACTGAATCATTCATACTTCACAAACTGGTACGTCTAGGTTGTATTATTAAATTTAATATTAATATTATGAGAAAATTACAAACTCACTGTTTTCATGTAAACAAATCAGAACCCCACTTATAAAAGCCCTTTTTGCGATTCATTTCAGGGAACATTTAGCGATGATTTAAAATTATCTGCGTTTTGACAATTAAGATTTTGCTTAGAATGGTATGGGAATAGTAAAAACTCTACATACATACGTTTTAGGGTATATCCTTGTGAGGCCACCCATAGTACCAACAATTAGTGACTCAACACCAAGCCTAAAGAAGAGAAAAACAAACAGAAATCATTATGGCAAACAAATTTCAACTAAAATCAAGAAACGAACAGGTTAGAGTTAGAGTTAGAGTTAAATTGAAACTGCAATCATATGACGCAACTAACTAGGCAATGCAAATATGTTCTTAAACTGAGGAAAAATTACATGAAAAAACTATAAACAATTATATTGTTAACATCAAGATACAAAGTTGAGTCTCATCTGTCTTCTTTAAATTATTGAATTCACATAAAACTGCAACTCAATAATAAATATGACATACTCTATCAATGATGCCAGTGAATCATTTCCTTGCCCAGGGAACTTAGCAACCCAGTAATTCTGCTCCAAATCTTCAGTGGCATAAAGATCAATCAATAGTCTTGTTAACATCTCATGGTCACCTAATAGGAGAACAATTATTTTAATTTAAAATAATGATGGTATTGATTATTATCATAATAGTATAAAGCAATATCACTCAGTAAAGTATTTCATAGAAATATATGTGATGTACAGGATCAGATGTGAACTGGCTGATCAATGAAATCTTCACGAGAGAGTGTTTGACAATCATTCTGTGAAATAGCTACGACAGGGAATTAGAGTAGAAAAAATTGAAAGATTACAAACCTTGATAATATGTGTATACTTACAATCTGAGTTATTATGATTTTCTAAAAAATCAGATATGAATGAATCTACTACTTCAGCTGTTGCATTGTGTTTCTGATCTGGACAGAACATCCTGCAAATACAAGGAAAACAATCTTCTTTCAATCAGAGACACAAGAAGAGAAAATGTTTTAAAATTTGTACAATATTTGATGGCGAGGAAAAAATCATGAATTATGAAACTTTGTTTCTGTCAAAATACCGGTCCTAACAAATGCCTTCAGATTATCCATCAATTGTTGAAGGGTGGGGTTTGTCGGCGACGTTCTGTTTGATATGGGACTCGTAGTGATGTATACAATGTATGTTTTGTTTACATGAAATTCGAACATGCGCTGCACAATGACCACTGCCCTTTAAGACAATGCCTGCTTAACACAGTGTTTTTCCCATTCATTTTGGCTTTCAGCAGGTCGTAATAAGGTGTATGGAAACCCATAGCTTTAAATTAAAGAAAAAAGACATCAGTGAGGAAGTGATTGTTTTGATACACATACTTACCACGGTGCTATAAGAATATAACAGTCATCTGAGTGTAACTGATCTTTTGTCTGAACTACAAAAATAGATCACAAACAATTTTCAAAAATAATCCTAATTGTTAATATAATGCAATTTTATTATACATTGGCAGTGAAAATAGAATCATAAAACATGTACAGATGGGTTTGAAAGTGATAGATGAATCTTCTTTATTTGGAAAATGTGTACCACACTTAAAGTGCCAATCTGCATGTAGCAGACATTTTAAAATACATGTATGATGATATCCATGGTATTCACTTTATTGTCAATCCATTCACTATAAGTAAATGAACTATAATCTGTGAATTATAGACTTACACTCATTAAAACTTCTATTATTTAAATCCATACTCCATAAATTGAATGATGGAAGAGCAATGGCCATACTGAAATATAGAACCATTTCATGATAAGACTTTCAGAATAAAATTCAATGATCATGTGTAAAACAAGAGGGAATTACAGTGAATCATAGAAAAAATGTACACTTTTCAGTTATTTTTCCTTACCTGAATGATGTACTGTTTATAAAGCGATACCAGTAGGTCATATTTATTAAAAATACATATCTCTGAAGAAAAAAATGACGTACATCCAAATTACATACCACCAGTGATATTCCTTTAATATGCATGAAATGATGATGATGATATTCATCCAAGCTTAAAATAGTATTTACATAACCCAAAATGAAATAAATCTCACCTCAAATAACAACTCATTTGTATTTCTATGAAGGGTTTCTGTAACAATGGTCCCATTTTTGCCATCAATCATAGCTTTTCTCAACTACAAATGGAAAAAAAACATGTACATGATTGTATATGATGTATACCTTGGAGGCTGCATACACAGTTGTCATTTACAGACAAGTATGGACATCTTTGGGAACATAAGGGTCCCTGTAATAAATACTATAATATATACTAAGCAACTCAATAATAAACATTCCCTGTTAGTTATCAAATTTAAGATATATACCGTAGTTCGTTTATAGTAATATAGTTGGAACGTAAACATGTCAGAAGTATGAATCCAGAAGATGATTCTTGTATCTGATCATCAAACGAGTATTTATCCATATTGCTCCGGAACAGCATTAATTAAAACAAAATGGCCACCGGTCGGCCATTTTGAGTACATCTATATATCAATAACATGATGTAAAACGAATATATAAAATTTGGACATAATCAATCAAAGCATATCAGACATATGGCACTATAGAAGCGAATTCATTTAAACAAAATGGCTGCCAGTCAGCCATTGTGAATCCGATCGAAAAATAAAATGACGTGCATCAGGAACTCATAATCTCTAGTGTGTGTACCAAATTTGAACAAAAATCCATCCATAAATGCTTGATTTTGATGATTTTTTAGCACAAAAATGGCTACCATTCGGCCAAATTGTGACAAATTGATATGCATATGTATAATATTATGTATGATGTATGTGTGAAGTTTGATTGTGATTGAGAGGACGCACAAAGGTCAAAACATAACTAATAAATACCTGCTCTTTTTCTGCTGTCGGCAATTCAACTTCTAACAGATCAACATTTGGTGGTTCTATCAGGTAACCTAACTGTATATATATACACACACAAAATACAAACAAAATGCAAAAGAGTTAGCAATCTTGGTAGAAAAAAACACATTCGTATTTGCAGACACACACTAGCATACAATCTGTCATCTCATTATGTACATGAATTGGCCAATCAGAGGCCAAGATGAAAGTGCATGTGAGAGGAAGAAAATTTGAACTCTATGCATGCAGTGGTATATATTTCAACTCAAGTCAAAATAATAACTTTGATTAATTTCTCTGTCATTAAGAGGTTTCTTGCCAGATCCAACATCAGATTCAGTAATTTCTCAGTAGTATGTGTACATCGTTGAAACATAAAATACATCAATGAGAAAATGTCAGTGCTGATTGGTTATCAGTCACATGTTATCTTCAAATGGCATGTGATATGCAAATGAGGTATATACAGTCAAAAATAACTAACACGCATCATTTGTACATCAGGGTGTGCAACAAGGAGACTCAACTAATAACACATATAATGACATCACCAAGATTTGTATGCAAGAAATACAAGGTTACAAATGATGCAAAACTAGAATAAAATATTTTTTTCAATAATAAGACTACAGCAGTGAGTGAACTGAATACAACTATGCAAATCTGGAAAACTGAAAATAATTGATGGTAGGCATGACAACCAAGACAAAAAAGGTAAATGAAAATTGACATGGAAGAAGCTGCACATATACTCACACTGAATTTACCCTACATTAAACACAAACAAAAAAACATAATGTACGATCATTTTTTTTTTCGCTATTTTTACACAAACTTTCTGGTAAAATACAGAATCTGTCAAAAAAGTAATTTATGCCAACACAAAAGACACTCATGGCCAATTGAATTTGTTCATTCACTCTGAGGAAATTCAAAGTGAGGTTCAAAAAAAAAAAAGTATATAGCAAGCAGCTGATGGCACCGATATCTGAAAAATGTGGCAAAAAACATGAATAAAAAAGTAACGAGGTGAAAATAATGCTTCATTTCCAGTGGTTTCTGAAATGAAAAAGTTGGAAACACAATTGGGATGACAAGGAAAGCATGGAATGGTGCTATGCAGAAAACACCAACAAACTTTGGAAGCAAACAATATCATCACTATGGATACAAAATAATAATTAATGTGATGGAAGGTGCCTGATAAAGTGGAAGGACAGCGGATTAAAAAAAATACACATATACACAAATACACCAATTAATACTGACGCATACTGACAAACTATCAACATCTAGATTCCCCACCTGCCACGGCCAAAATAAACTCCACTCTGATATATTCTACACAATTTGGCTTTGGGACCGATGAATCAATGTATAGATATCTATACATTGATTAATGATTTGTAGAGATTTACCCACCATTAGGAAGTAACATTAAAAAAACATGCAAGAAAGGTTTCTTGAACTGGCTGCATACTGTCACATGCAGTATATGCCTTAATAAGTTCTTCTCAACAACAACAAAAATAGATTTGATATTATTATCATTATTATTATTAATAATAAGATACAATCATTCACTGGACAATTTACAACCCTGCTAAGTAGCAAGGCATTAACAGAGAATACTGACAATGTTCACAATACAAGTACATCACAAAGGATGTACCATTTGAAATAAACCAACACGAATATTATCATTATTGAATTAATGTTCATTATCACATTCAGTTAAATAAAAAAAAAGAGTACATTACAAAGAAATAGGCAAAAACAAGGTTATGAAATACCATCTTGTTGATGGATAATACTTTCAATAAATTTGACATGCAGACAGAGACAGACAGACAAAAAGTTCAATGGTGGGTAAATGTGGTGATTGGGAAATTTTATCAACGCAGTGAATCTATACTTTAGTCCCAATGTCAACTAAGAGGCAGTCAATATGAAAGTTACTTGATTTTATCATGAAAACATGAATTCTAGCTCTCAGCACAAATTTGTTCGGAAATTTTATGATCATTTGTAATATATCAGAATAGGTGAGAAGTGGTAAAATTACCCAATATATACCAAATATGACCAGTTTGATATTTTGCACTCAAATAACATTGGTAGAAACTACTACATGTTACAACCAATTTGATTCATGCTGAAAACTAGCTAATATGTTTCCACATTCAAACAGGTAACAAGAACTCAAGGTTTCATTATTTGCCAGTCTTGTAATATGGTCCTTGCCTCATTGAAATTCACACCTAGTATACCCGGAAGACATATACCTTGAGCCCTTCCTGATCAGTTTCTCTCGCTTTCTCTTCCTGGATATTGAAATATGGTCAAATACTAAATACGTCTAAACATGCAAACATCATGCAATATATCACATGCATTCATGTGAATTAGCCATGCACTGTTCATGCACGTATCATGTGATCGGGACTAAACAGCTGTGTGTGGATTCCAGCCACCGACTAATTTCAACAGAATTTGTATTTTTTTCTCTATATAATTAACAGCGAATGCCTGACCACATATTGTAGTCACGATCACATATTACGAACATTCCTCATGCTACCAGTTAATGGCAGCATCTGTAACAGAACACCCAGCCAGACGAGGTCCCTGTGAAAGAAAATGCCTAGAATGGAAAACACAGTTAGACATAGACACATGAGTCTACACAATTCCTAAATCAAATCAGTGAATGTAATAAAAGAATTTATTTGAAAGCATGTATATTTGTCAATAAAAACTTTTCCATTTCTTGCAATCATGAAAGTGATTATTTCCACTACTCTTGATGCAACAAACCCATTTCCTTCATCTTTATAAATATTTATAAATTGCAATGGCAGTAGAATCCAACTAGCCAATCAAAGAGCACAGTATTCAATGACGTCATTTGAAAACAGTTCTGTATCTTTTAATCAGCCAACAGAAACCACTTTGAATTGAGAAATTTATAAATAATTATAAAAATAAAGGAAATGCCTTTGTTGCATTGAGAGTATACAGCTATGTTGTGAGTATAAATCATGATCTCAATATAGACCCACCAATTCATAGTAGAATAGCTAAGAATTAAATGTCTACAGTGCCTGTGTATGCATTTGAATCAATATATGCATAAGATGATGAAAATTCATCTTAATTAGTCTACTCACTTTTTTTTGACAATTTATTGTGAAAAAATGTATTTTTGAATGTTATAGTTGAATAGTCCTGAAATTACCTTTTGAGTAAGATGGTGGTGAGATAGAAATAAATTATTGACAGTACATGCTGGTGTTTTTACAGTAGTCATGGAAATGCGAACATTTACAGTGTCAACAGTATAGTCAGACTGCTAAATCTGTTTGTGAAGAAGAGTGTTTCTAAAGTGTAAACACTACTGACTACTAAAACTAGTATGATAAATGATTTGTTAATATAAGACGCTTAATAGTGTACTAGTAGAGTACTACAAACTTATAAATAGGAAAAACAAAAAAATAAATAAATTTGAAACCAGAGCAACAGCATAATGTATACAAGCTGCCATAATACAGCAACTCATAACCTAAAAACATATTTTACTTTGCTTTTCATCTTTCAATGGCCCATTTCATTTCCTGCATTAAGTATGGAGCAAACAGGACGGAAAACAAAAGACAAAATGCACACAAGACAGTCAATAAATATTACTTCCTGTCATCACAAAGGCCTTTTTTACTATGTATGTATATTTGTATATACATGTTAAATTTTAATTAGAAGAAGTCAAGGTTGTTTTATGATTGTAGGTGGTTTATGAGTATGTTCTTTCCAGAATAATACAAATTTATCCATGGCGCCCTCTATATATTGGAGTGTTACTTGAATTGCGCCCTCTAGTGTCCAACTATTGCTTTACTTATTACGTTATTACTTTGAAATTCTGTTTTGTGTCTCAGCCAGCCAATTGGGGTGCTAGTAGTGAGGGAAGTATTGTAAGTAAGTATTGTATTGTAAGTAACGGAAATTGCTTGATGAATAAATTACCTTCAGAAAAGAAAACCAGTTTTCATACAGAGTTTAGATAAAGCTGATATGTAAACAAATAAGACTTTTTTTGTGAAAACTGTTTATATATGTAGTTTGAAAAAGAATAACCTTGAATCATAGAATGGTCTCTTCCATACTTCCAATAAATATATGTTGAAGATGATTGTTATATTGCCTGGTATCTCAAATATTCAATGTAGTACATCCCACCTCTGAGAAGTAACATGTTATATTGATGTTTTTTTAATTCCTTTGAGATTTTGTAATCTCAAACACAGTTTCTTCTTCAAAAACCTGTTTCACTAAACGATAATAATGAAAGATGTGTATTAAAAAAACATGCAAATGGTGAAAAAAGTGTAAAGTGAAGTTTATGGTGATTTTGTAAATGTCTTTCCCTACCTGTCCCTTGAGCCGAGGATGGATCAGAATATATCCATTTGTATTAATACCAAACGCATAACTAGCAGGTCCAAGCTATAATAGAGGTATACAACGAAATTACAACGAAAATGGAAATCAAGCTAACAACTAAAGCAAGAGATATAACATATCTGGATGGAAACTTTGAACAGTTTGATTAACTGCACATACCAAACACTGGCAATGGATTCAGAGAACAGTATAGTTAACTGAAATGTCAATCCATCCAGAGATAGTAAAAGTTATATTATTCCACAGACTGAAACAGAAATATTTAGAACCAGGCATTTCATTTGCAATAACGGTATGAACGGCAAGTGGACATAACATTCCATATGTACAACATCAAAGCATCATTTTAGGATATGTGGAATACATGCTGGCCTGTATCAAAACTAATCAAACTTAATTCTCAAGAAACTGTTTGTGTTTAAGTTGGCGTGAAATATTACTATGAACGTAAGTAAGCAAGTGAAAAAAGTGCGTTTTTTCCAAGTGCAAGTCACGCGTTATGGAAAGGAAAATATGTATAAACAAGACCAGATAGGAAAATAATCTCACAAGGCATTGGGTCTTTACAAAATATTCATGCAAACATTTATAAGAATACAATTAAAGCGAGGAAAGAATCTATGCAGGAAAAAGGTACCTGCTCTCTCTAATGAACTTACTGTCTTTGTGTCTGATTCAGAAGCGTGCTGAGGGAAGACACCAATATAGACCAGAAAACATTACAACTATTACTACTACATGTTATTATCAGAGGAAATATAGAACTAGGTTGACAATTGCGATTTAAATATAAGCAGCATAACAAAAGGAAGGGGGAGGGGATGATTACATGTAGTGAAAGCATGGGGGTTTGTTATAGATAAAAAAACTAGGTTTTGCTGGAGTGTTATTTAAAAAAAATATCATGCTATGTTTATTATTTAAAAAAAAGGCTTGTATTTGGCACAATATGTGTGTTATTATGTGTAAATTTTGCTATCCAGTTGCATGTTGAAAAAAAATTGCAAATGAATTGGCAGTTTTCAATCATGAAGCTATTTAAAAGTAACTGAAGACAATGCAGTAAACCAGCAAGCTGAATTTGCAGTTTTGCATTTCAAACATAAAGCCACTGTTTTATTCTGGGGGTAATTGAAACCTGAATGCACAACTGAAAACTAATTGGAATAATATTTTTAATTAGTACCGGTAATGAAGCTCTATAAGTATTACCTTCCAGTAGATGCACTACACACATTCCTTAGTTAGTAGGGATTCAGAATTAAAAACAGGGGAACTTAGAGGGGAAGTAATTGTGCATTCAGTCTCCAATCACCTGTCTGTACAAAATAAAATATTTACAGCCAAGTCTTGTGTTGAGGAACAAGACCTTATCATAACATGTTCTTGCCAAAGATTGCAAAGATGGAATAAATCAATTGGCAGTTGATTCTTGTACACAGCACAGCAACTTGTGGGGGAACATTATAATGTGAATATATATGAAATAGAAGATAACAGAAGCACAACACCATAGATATAAAATATTAATTTGAAAAAGGGAATGATATTCACTACCAACTATGAGTAATAATAAATTATGGGTGTATGACATTTGAATATGATGCATGCATAACAACAAATATGGTACAATAATGAGAATATGATGGACGATTAACAGCATATATAGTAATTAAAAATCAATATGATGGGATGC